ACATCGGTTGTTGAGGAGAACGAAGCATGCCATATAAGTGGCTGTGGACACCTCAACCTACAGGACGCGTTTTGGTGAGCTAGCTCCCAAAGGCAAAACCGTGAGGGAATGATCTGGTGTATACCCAAAGCGGACAATATTCTGTAGCGGGTTGACTGGGCTGTTACATATGGTATCAGAGCCAGTACCCGGACTGGTGTGCCAGCGGGGACGCTGGGCCCTCCAAGGGGGGTGGAATCTAGTAAAAGATGTCTCACATCGGTTGTTGAGGAGAACGAAGCATGCCATATAAGTGGTTGTGGACACCTCAACCTACAGGACGCGTTTTGGTGAGCTAGCTCCCAAAGGCAAAACCGTGAGGGAATGATCTGGTGTATACCCAAAGCGGACAATATTCTGTAGCGGGTTGACTGGGCTGTTACACGGCGGCTAAAGAAAAATGAAGAAGGGGAGAATGATCATCTCCCATATATATAGCTAGGTATTTTGGCTTAACCTAATCTCGACTGAAATGACTGAAAATAATTAATCCCGATAATTAATATCGGAACTAAAAACATAACATATACTGATAAACTGACAGGATGTCGCTGACTGAATAATTAATTTCGGACTCATTAATTAATTAAACGAGACTGAATAATTAATTCCGGACTCATTATATCTTAAAGTGACATAGTTTTATGAGTGGAGAATGTACCAATCATTTTAGTTTGAGTCAAGTATTATGAACGATGAGCAATAGTCTAGATTAACTGTTACGCCTTTTACATGCTCTTGATAAAATCAATAGAAAATAACATTTTATGATAGTTATTGCATAGTTAAAATTTTGTTCATTTGTTGCTTTTGAAAAAGAGAATTATCATTTCAGTTCAAATCTATGTTTTTGAAGATCTTTTTGTATTTGACGAATATTGTTATTCTTCAAAAGTAGTTATTTTTGGTTGTTGTTGGTGCAAGAAATAATTCACATTTTGACTTACACATATGTTTTAAGAATTAATTTTATTCAAAAGAATATATCTAACTTCTAAGATTTTAAAAATTTGGTAAAAAATATTACAAATAATTTAAAAATTTCAACTTATTTATTTATTAAAAATGATTAATAAAATAGTTATGATGTAATTTTTTAATTAAATTTATTATAAGAAAGTAATTATTAATAATTGACCGATTACATACAAGTAAAAAAAAGTAATTATAATATAAAAATAAATAGATTTCTTAATCTTTTGTTGTGGTTTGTGTGTGAAACTAATAAAGGTTGTGTACAAATGTAAAAACAAGTTAACAAAATTACTATAGATACCATGACATGTGTGTCTATTTTTAATAGTTTTTCATATCTATAAGAAAATACAATATAATAAAAAAAAAGTAAATATATAAGTAAAGTAAGCGGACCTAACGATTAAACATTCATACATTTCCAATATATATACTACACTCAAATTGAATTTTCATACTTTAAAAAATAAAAAATAAAAGTATGATATTTTATTGCTACGTAAATATTTTTATTCAAAAAACTATGACGGATCAATCCGCTAATTCGTCTCATACAAGAATTTTCGTAAAGTAATATTTCAACTTAATAAGTATTTAACCAATAATTTTATGATAAATTATTAATTAAATGAAATTTTATCTAACCTAAGATATCATATGATATATAAATACAATTTGAATATATATATATATATATATATATATATAAGAACAAATATTAGACAAAAAATTTGT